TTATCCCAGCAAATCTCTATAAGCATAAATTATCTCTTACAGTATTTACTCCTTTAAAATTGCATGTGAATAATTAATTGATTTTGCTACTGTTTGAAAAACAATTTTTTTTTATCTTTTGCCAATAGATTAAAATTGAAAACAATTTAATTTTACAACTTTCATCAATGATGCATTAAAGTTGGTTAGAAAATATAGCTGGCCATTAATTATTTACAATTTAATGTTCAATTAATATTTTTTATCCTGCAGGGGATTAATTCAATAACTTTGATGAATCAACAATTTAGACGTCAAATTAATTAATTTAGCAATTTTAAAATACAATTTTTGAAAAACCCACTAATTAGTCTCAACTTCTTACCAGAAAAATCGTTCATTCTCCAATCAAGCACAAATTTTTGCAATTCACAATCAGAGCCCCCGAAAGCTAATTGGCGGTGGCCGAAAAACAGCTGATGCACTTTGCCAACCACGGCAAAAGCGCAAAGGGCTCTCCTTCTCTCGACCCTCTCTTTTTCATTTGTGCAATTTAGGTTCATTACAGCGTGCAAAAGAATGTAAATTTTTATATCTGTTTGGACAGCGAACGAGCGCGCACGAGTGAAAAGTAGTGCGACGAGGGCGAACACATTGAATTATGTATAACGTAACAAAACGCACAAAGTGCCCACTGTCTCGCTCGCTCTTGTTTTCCGCGCCTCTCTCTGTCTGTCCCTTTATTTCCTCGTTCGCGCACAATAGGAACAAAGGACGTTCTAATTTGCTGCCGTCTGTTGTCACCGTGTGTACTTTCAAGTATTTTTGCACTCAATTATTACAAAGAGTGGAAAAACCTGCTTTGACGATCAACAAAACAATCAAGCCGTGCGAGTTTTTCTTTCTTGCTTCCCACTTGTTTCGTTTTTACAATAAAAAGTAAAGGTGAATTTTTTCCCATCCTTCAAAAACAAAACTTTCAAGTGATTTTTCAGGCTGGTTGGAATTGTTGAAGTAGCTTTGCGGCTCGATTGGTCTAAACCTTTTGGGCAAGGTGCTCCAAGTGCTTGCTTTGTGAAATTGAATTAAACTAGAGGTCCGTTTTTTTTCTTTTGCAATTCAACAAATGGAGAGAAATTTTTATAAGGAATAATCCTTGCAGTTTTAAATTTGTAATTTCTTTGAATAATTTTGCTTAAGTTTTTGTAGTTCATTTATTTTTTAATTTTTTTTTTAATCCTTGAAATCCATTTTTAGGAATAGAGAAATAAATTACTGAAAAATGCATTATTTTTACACAACCCCCTGTTTTAATTGTCAGTAGTGGAGTTCGTAAAACTACTACCGTAAAGTTTTATAACAACAAATACTTTTGCTCAAAAAGACTATTGCATTGAATGAAAAATATCCTCTCAAAGTTTTTGCAATAAAATAAATTGCACCTTTTTTAAGACAATTTTCTTGCCTGATTGATAAAGAAAGTTGATCTTTAACAAACTTTCTTTCCAGCGAGTAAACACTGCGACAAACATTACTCTGGAAAAATTGCCTTCCTGTTACTTTCAAAGGCGCTGATGCCGCGTTTGATCCACTTGGGCGATTGTTCCAGTCGCGAGTTGGGGCTGAAAACGCCACTGATGACACACACGTACGCCAATTTCCTGCGTCCTCGTCGCCAATAAAGCAGCAAACTACTTGCTTTCATCAGTCAGTCGCTCACTTTAAACATTAGAGAAGGAAAAAGTTCGAATGTGCAGCTCTAGTGAAAAAGTTTGTGTTCACGTCAACGTGGCGCTGCATTTATTTCTTATTTTGCGACTTACTTTGAGGCCATGCATTGAAAGCAGTTTTAATTCCAGATTAATATGCGCGGCACGGAAAACAAAATAAACTTGAGCGATGATGGTGACAATACATGGAGGTTGGAGAACATGCCCCGGCATTGCCGCTCATCACGATGCAATTTCATTTGAGCGCAGCGCTGATTTCACAGAGGCAAAGAGACAGGCAGCCGCTCTTATTCTCTGCAGCGCCGTCCGGATAATTAATTTTGCCTTCAACACGCGCCCACCGCCTCTGAGCTGCACAACAATAATGAAGAGAGAACACAGACACACAGATTTGCACAGAAAGAGATGCTTTGGCGCGGTGCATGTTAAATTTATTATAAAATTTGCTAAATAAATTTCTTATAATAAACATTAATGTAGAAATATTTTTCTATTATTACAATTTATAAGTTATTGAATTTTTTTAGTCTTATATTAGAATTGTTTTTTTAAATATAGCAATAACTTTGTATATTCAATTTTATAAGATGATGCCGAAAAACAGCCTATGTATGAGAAAAAAACAAAAAATAATATTTTGAAATATTAAAATAAAACAATAGTTTACCTATCACATACAAAAGTATTAATTAAAAAATTTCTCGTTATCTCCTGAGCTGCATTAATCTCATTATTTATTAGAATCATGATTATATAAATACAGATAATAATGGAAAAATGAATAAATGCTTCAACCCTCTTTAAACAAATTCAAATAAATATATGATTTTATAATATAATAATGTTAATTATTTAAGTTTTGGTTCAACATTATTGCATTATTTTAAGTGCATTACAACAATGTAATAATATGTGCAACGGGGTCAGATGCATAAATGAAATCGAGTTTCTATTGTTTGTGAACCAATAAAAATATGGTGCCATCAAACTGGTGCCACAACAATATGAACTTAATTTCATTGTTGCATTGAGCTCCCGAAAAATATCTGCAATATCAAACTATAAAAGTAATTGAAAGGTTGCTTTAGTAATTAATATAAAAATAAAAATATTTAAATAAATTGAATAAATTTATAAAAAAGAGGTTTATTATAAATTATTATTTGGAACATGGTGAAGTTCTTTTCCCCACGAACTGTCCTTAGAAGTAGTTAAAAAATTATCACATACATAATTTTTTTGATTTAATGATTTATTTTTAAACTTGTCTATAGAAATGAGGGTAATTTCTGACAAAATTGCAGGTTCTCAGCGTGGCAATAATAAGAAATAATATTTTATAAGAATTAAAAAACAAATATTAAATGAAAACTTTGATCAAATGAAAGAGTTCATATCGCTTACAAACCGCTTGCCTAGGGTTAATCAACGGCTGCTTTGTTTTGTTTAACAAACTCGCCCTCGTCTATTTACCCCATGAATGAGTGACGAAGGGCAACGTCCGCCAAAACGCGACATTACGAGACGCAAGTCGCCGAAAATATGTCGTGCTCGGCATGCATGTGTCTTCAAATTACAGTTTGCCATCCATCAATATCGTAATTCGTGGCTGGCGTGACCACCGCAGTCAAAATATTGGCCCGACTCTCGCACGCGAGCTTCGAAAAAAAAAATAATAAATTCGCCGGCCGCGAACCCTTTAAGGCAACGAGCGCCAGTTTTGTCCGCGAGAGATTCTAATCGCGCGGCGTTGAATTTCAGCACACAATGGCGGGTGTTAATGAGAAAATAAAAATAATCATCGGCCGTCACTGGAGCCGCCGATCGATTTCCGTGTGCTGCAAAATAAAAATAAAAAATCCCAACTTTCCTCTCTGCTGTGCGTGGAGCCGCAGGGCAATCGAATGGAGTAATTGCGCTATGATGTCGGCCGGCACGTGGCGCTAATTTAAATTTGAACCTTCCTGGTGCACGCCCCATTAAAGTTATTGCACGACTCTGGTCGTCGTATTTATTTTTGCCGGCTGCTGCTTTTTCCAATCCGGCGGCTGTTTGATATGTATTTTTTGCGGCCGTCGGTTTTTCAAAGGGAAACGCTGATTGCGAGATCGTTTATGAATTACAATGAAATCGATCGGTCGCTGCTTCTTTTGCAGTTTGCGTTTTCATTCATTCGTGATGAACCGCGGCGCTTGAAAAGAAGCCATGCAAAGCGCAGAAAAATATATAATTGCTACAGCCGGTGGAGCTCGTTTGGATCAAATATTCATTGAAATTCTGTGGCGGCTTTTAGTAATTGACTGCTAATTACATTGAATCAATCAATAGTTTAGATTAATCACGCAGAAATCTAGTTGCAATATGCACAAAAAAATTGAATTTAAAAGTTCATTTTTTAATATTTTTAGTTAATTTTGAAATCCTTGTTAGAATTTCTTGATGAGCAGTGAAGTCGGTCCGATTAAATTACAGTGAACAAGAAATGATTGTAAATAAAGTTAACCAATTTTAAAATTACATTATATAAAAAAATTTTCTTCCTTGTCAATGAAAATCTTATAAAAGTAAGATCAACAAAGTTATTCCAATGAAATATTTATTTAAAAAGAATTTTTCATGATAAGACGTTTAAATCTATACATCTTGTACTTTAGAATTCAATATTGAATAAATCAGACCTAACTTGACAAATTAAAGTTAGGTGGGGTGTTCTTTTAGGATAATGATAATGATTTTTTTTATGATCTAGGATAATGACCATCAGCTTTCCATTTCATTCATTTGGTGACCGTTTGATCGATTCGTCATTTCGTTGGTACAGAAAACGAATAGGGGCGCTTGTGTTTTATTTGCTTACTTATTTACAGACATGCCGGTGACGACACACTCTATCACATGCGAGCGTGATAGATGCCCGACGGACGGGAGCATCAAATCGGCAGATCAAACGGAATGGCAAAGTTACTCTGCAGCTAGTTGAGGGATAGATGCAGCGGAGGGAGAATTTCTTTCTGCAGCATCGCGGGAGCGTATTTTTTTTCCGGCGCTCAAAGTTGCTGGCGGCGGCACTTTGGCTTATATAAGCGGAAAAAAATTCGGCTCCAGATTTTGCAATTTTAATTAAAGCCTCTTTTGTGTGTACCGGAACGGAATTCGCGCTCAACGAGGTTTCGTCTTTCGAGAGGCGTGTTGCGGAAACAAAAGCAAACTTGGTCGCTTGTTCGCTCCATGGGGGAGTTATTAAATAATACGTCACCCACACACGGCGTGTGCGTTGGTCAAATTACGTACCTTGTAGGTGCCGAGGTTCTTGACTGAACACGACAGCTTCACATTCCTGCCCGCTGGTACTGTGATGTTCTCGATGATGTCGGTGAACTCGGGGTCCTCCTGGGCAGGACCTGCAACATCGACAAGAAGGTTTGATTAGAACTACTTTCGAGTGCAGTTCTTCAGACAGTATGTTAAGAGCTTTCAAGAAACTTGTTTCAAAATATAAGATTAATTTCCAGAAATATTCATAGCAGCAAAGAAAATCATAATTTATTTATATTTTTTTTGTATTCTAGAAAAATTACAATTGTGAATTTTAATTCATAATAATAATTTATTATTATTTTTGGCGAATTTTTTTTCTTTACCATTTATTAAAATTTTAAATTAACCAATCAGAAAAAGACCCACAGAATTAAATACATTTGTCCTCTAATTTTCTTAATTTAGCAACATGTCAACGCTACTCCAATGTTCCTCTAATTGCTAGGGTGAGATTTAAATGAATTGGTGAAATGAAAATTAAGAGCAACCCCCTTGTTAATTGCATTTCCGTCGTTGGCGGAAAACAAAAGACGAAGTCACGCGGATCGCGCATCGAACAAATTAGATTTGCCTTGCAAAACACGTAGCGACGCGAAATAAACACGCGAGAGGGAACGACTTTTCTAGAGTTAGTTTTGTTTTAAGGTGCAGCGAGTGTTTCTCCCTTTCGCCGAGTGCAGCTTTAGTCTATTAGCTAATTATTTCGGCAAAAGGCACGAGGGATTTTATATGAGCGCGATGACTGGTGGTGCAGAGAATCAGCGAGAGTCGGTTGGCGAAGAGTTTCTCTCCCGAGAAAACAACTACACAAACTACAAAGCAGCGCGCGAGCTGCTGCTGCTGGGGGAAGAAGATTTAGTCAAGTGCAAATAAAATGTACGAGAGGAGAAAACACAATGTGGATGTTAAACAAAAGCATCATAAACTTCCGACGTAATGAAATTATACAAAGGGCACGAAATCTGCGAGAAATAAATAAAATTAAAAAGCACAAAGAGCGCGCACAGGAGCCTCCGGTGGCTCCAATGGCGAAATAAAACATAATCAGCTGCTCGGCTGCTACTGGCAACCCTTTGGGCCAGGTTAGGGAGAAAATGCAATGCTTATTTCAAGCAAACGTGTTTTTTTCATTATGTGTGCTCTACTTTATTTTATCTTAATCATTAAAGAAATTAAGAAAATGCAAAACTTTTTAAAATAAAGTAAAGTAATCTTAATTATGAGAGGGAAAGTAAAACGTTCATTAATAAAGAGCGCGACAAATATTTTTGTGTTTATTATATGATTGATTGATCATCACCTTCAATACGTTTGACTTACGATGTATTTAATTAATTTTAAAGTTTTATCCTTATTTTAATATCAATACCATAAAGTCATTCAAACATCTGGAAAGAACCACTTGGTAAAATTATGAATATTAAGCAAGTATGGCTCACATAGTCTAATATAATAATTTAAACTTGCAGAAAAAATTAATGTATTGTGCTTATAATGTTTATTTAGATAATTAGTTATAAATCTATTAAATACCTGTGAATTCTTCAAAATTATACTATAAAAGCAAAAATGAATTACTAAATAAAATAACATTTTTAACCTTTAAATCAGAAAAACTTCAATGCAATGCTAAAAAATTTGACATTTAACCTTAATTTAGTTATTTTTATTATTGTAAGTATGTATTGTTTTTTTAATTATTACTTTCAGTAAAACACCTTATACTTTCTCACTCAAGAAAGAATCATGGTATCCGATATTAATTAAATTAATTGTATGTATTGTCCTTAAAGCAAGTTAAAAACAGTCCACTAGGAACAATTTTTCGAGTGAATATAAGGCAGTGGTTGTGATTTCGGCTTTTATTTATAGGGCAGCTGTTTTGAAAAAAAAAAAAAAAAAACAGCAACGACAACAACAGCTCGACTACGAAAATTGAAAAAAACTTCATGGACAAGGAAAAGTCCAGTTCATCCTATTTAATATAATGCAAATCATGAAAAGTAATTTTATATTTTCATTAGACTTTTTAATTTTTTAATTCGATTTAAGAGGTTTTTGATAAAAAATATTTTGTCGTATAATATTTATTGTTACTCTTGTTACTAATAGGAGGGCCATTCATCAGGCGGTCAATCAATCAGCTTCCGCGGCTGCCAGCAAAAAATCAATTCTAATCCATCAAAACAATCACAATAATCAAGCATTTTTGGACCAACTTTTCTTGCTCGCTCTTGGTAATTGAAAAAGTAAACAGAAACAAAACAAGTTAGTTTTGCTCTCTCGCATTTGTCGATCCATCAAGTTGTGTGTCGGGCCAGTGAAATCTAGACGGCCGGAATCTGTTTAATTCAGGCGTATTGAGTTCAAATTTCAAGCTCCATTGGCCGCTTAATCCCGACTAATCCTTAAAGCAGCAGCTCTCGCCCGCTAATAACACCACGCGCTATTCTAGTGGCAAAGCCCCAGCATTTAGCGTAATTGCAGTTTGAGGGTAATAATTTATCCCGTCGGCAGGAAGTGCGGACAAAGCGAAAACGCGCCGGCGTTTCAAATTATATAGAGCTTGGCCGGCGCAAATTAAAACAAATCGCGTTTGTTGTTTCAGGCCGCGCCACTCGCCGCTGTCATCAGATATCAAAATATTTGGCCAGCCGCAGTTTATTTATTTGTTTGTTGGTTTAAGCGGTGGCGTTTACCTCTTGTAATTGAGCCGTTTTTGTCAACCACACCGCAGCACCAAGACTGGATGACGAACCAACAAACGACAAAACTAATATGGATTTTCGTGTCACCTTTTCCGGCCTACATTTTAGGCGTTGGTGGCCCCAATAAGCCAAAAACACACCTTTCCTCTCTTCATATTGTATTATTTGCGGTACTCTTTCTATTCAACAATCGATATATGTTTCTGCTCTCAAAGAAAACATTGATGAATCAATAAATAAGCAAAACATATTATTATTTTGCCAAAAAAAGGTAGCGCAATTTTGTTTTGCATGGTTTTTGGAATCTTCTTCCGTTTTTTAGTTGAATACTTACAATAATAATTAATATGCGGAAATAATATTGTTTAAAATTATTAATTTTAATTATAGCAGCCTGGAGTCCATCAACCGATATTCTACGCAGGCATAAAATCAATTTTTTCTAGGAACAGTAAAAATTAATTGGGAAATTTTTGAAAAAAAAAAAAAAAACTAAAATTAACAAAAAATACGTTCAAAAGCTAAAGATTTTAGATTGGGAACAACCATTGATTCTTTGGTGCCTATTTTAGAAAAATTTACAGCTGAAATTTTTCTTAATATAAAACTTTATTTACTTTTTGAGTGTCAAATAAGTGCCAGTCTTTTAATTAAAACTACGTTGTAAGCATAGTTTGAGAAAAAATGATAAAAGTGCAAATTTTTTACCAAAAAATATTTACATTCACAAACATTTTTGACTAATCTTGATATGGAAATTATATTTTACCTGCGAAATTGAAAATCAAGTAATTGACATAATCAAAAGAAATTGAACTGGAAATTGAACCAGACGCATTTAGGAATTATAAAATATATGTGGATACACAGTTTTGCCGTTTTTTAAGTTTCATAAATCATTTTTGGAAACGTGATTTAATTTATTTCTCAGTTTATCTGGTGCTAATGAAGGCAATTGTACCCGCAATGGGTATTTTCAATTGGCCACGGCACGAAGGAAAACGTAACAACCGCACAGATGTTTTTGGTCCAAGCACCCCCGCAACACATTACATTTTACACTACGGTCGGGCGCGAATGAAAATGATAAAAAAAATCCGCGTGTTTACTCGGCGCACTCGCTACGGTGGAGCTAAGCCCCGAAATTTGGGAGCTTTTAAAAGTCGGGCGGGTGCACGAGGGTGTTAAAAATGGTTATTTTGCAGAAGTGTCGGCGCCCGGCGAGTGTTAATAATGCGTTGTAATGGTGTTGCTCTCCGCCACAGTTGCCTATGGCTGCCGAACGCGTGCAGTGGCTCTTTTAATGCTGCGGCTTTTGTCAAGAAATAAGACGATTACCCTCTGCCAATATTCATATTGATCGCGGTGCCGAGAGAGTCCATCAGCATTCCAAAGCTTGGCCGAGATAAATTCGTTTGCACATTTATGAGAGCGCACCGATTATATTAGGGGGGTGAGAGGAAATTGAAACGTGAATATTTCATTTGTGTTCTCATGCAGGTACACACTTTTGTTCGTCCGCAAACCGAAAACAAACAATTCGAGCGGAACAACATTTTTACCGCGTTGCTTTGATTTCATTTCGCCAAAATTGCCAATTGGAATAATAAAAACGCCCCTGAATAGAGATCGAATTTATCAAGTGCCAAATTTATTTAGGTCCACCATCTGATGTGAGTTTGCGGTTTTGTGTTGGGCGTTTGTGCTGGTATATGGTTCATAAATAATAGAATGGCCATGTTAATTAAATTTATTATCAAACAAAATGGAAAATACCTTTCTGTTGAAAAGAGATAACTTTTTAGGATCAAATTTAATAATAGAAGTTTCATTAATTTTAAGAGATTTAAATATATGGAAGTTATAATTATTTTAATTATGACCCCAAAAAATATTAATGCAATTATTTTCAAAGCAGATATGGAAATTTAAGTAAAATTCATTCTTTCTTCTTCAAAGTAGCAAAGATAAAATATTGCTTGAAGTGACTTAAAGTTTTCTATTACAAGATCTTGGTGCAACCTTAAAAATCATTGTCAAATTGTAACATTATAAAAGTAATAAAATATTGTGCAAAGACCGTAAAAAAACCTCAAAGTAGTGTGCAACACGTCAAAATACTTTTCCTCATAAAATAAAATAATATCTTATTGTTAGTTACGTTTACAATAATTTTAATTTACATGGTTAAAAGTTGATAAGATTTGAACAAAATCTACTAATAAAAGTTGCTAGCAAATATAAATTAATTTGAAATTCTAATTTGTATTTTGCATTTAATGAACTGCACTTTATTAATTTAATTGGTTTTTTTAAATATTTAAAATTTTAATGATAAATAATATCTATTTCATTCAGATGTATTTTAAAGAATA